TGAATTTGTAAAGATAGTAATATACTTCTAAGAATTCTTGATTTCTTCATTTTTTTTGCTGTGATAATTGACTCATTTTAACCTGCGACCTGTCAAGGACAATGAATTAATTCTTATCATTAGCAGTGTTTACTTTTAGAGTTATTTGTTCTTTCTTTTAAAGAAGCTATTCATTGTGTATTTTGACAATAGCTTATTGACAATTGTAGCATTTTTGTACGATGAAGTGCTAATTGTATCTTTTATGCTTTGTTGCTTTTATTCAACTACATTTTAAATTAAACTTGTAAAACATGTTCCTCTTGTTACATCTTTAACACACTTTGTTCATCCCATTATCACTAGATTTTTTAATTACTTCATTTTAGTTATATTTCATTAATATTAGTGTAAACTTCATGTTGATGTATTTGTGTGTGTGTTTATGTGAATGCATGCATGTGAACTAATATTTTACTTGTAAAAAGTGATCCACGTCCATTTGCATTTGTTGATATTACTGAAGCCTGTTGTTTTCAGCTTTCTTATCTAAGGTCTATGTTTTTCAAATCACAGGATATTTGATGTGTTAATCTATGTGGCGATTTTTCAGAGTTTTATTTTACCTATTTTAGTATTTAAGAACCTTTGTACTTTTGTTTAGGCAGTTACCTTTAACTGATGTTTTAATCATGCTATTAGTTTTATTTTCTTCCTTAACTTCTGTGCCTCTCTTATCTCCTTTAAATCATAGCTTTGACTCACACCTATTATGAACATACTGAAGATGTAGATGAATTACATTTTTCCTCCATTTCAGTCTCTACCTGCTTTGACTACTTTTATGACATTGTGAGCAAATAATTGACAGAAACAATGTAAGAAGAAGTGGTTTTGTCTCACAGTTCTGGGAATCCAGTCCATCATGTTCAGGAAGGCATAATAGGGAAAGTTGAGTTTCTGCCCCTGGGAGCTTGTGGCAATACCTGCTGCATCTAGTCTGATTGGGAAGCAGAGCCCAAGGATGACCAGAAATGGATCTCCTTCAAGGCCCACAAATCTACATTTGCACTACTAGCATCTGTTCTTCGAGTGCACACCAGAATGGTCCATCAAAGCTCTGATATGACATTCTAGGGCTTTTTTAGCATGTATCCATTTTAGTGTATCATATTTTAGCATTTTTAGAACATACAACTTTGGCACACTACTGTTACACTATGTTCCACATATCAAAAAATACATGTACAATTAGTATATGAGTGCATGTATATAGATGACAGATTTATGAGAAAAAAAAACACAGTGCTAGGCAGGAGAAACCTGAGTCATTGGTCAGTTAGTCCAGGAGGCTCCAACAATGACATAGATTATTGTCACAACTGTTTTCCTCTATCAATCAGTATCAGAGTTTCAGGTTTCATATAGAGATAACCAAATAATCTTGAGCAAGAAGAACAATGCTGGAAGAATCACCATACCACATCTCAAACTATATTACAAAGTTATAGTCATAAAAACATCATGAAAATGGCACAAACACAGACATGCATATTAATGGAATAATAGAAGACCCAAATGTGAGTGTATGCAATTTCAGCCACCTGATAATTGACAAAGGCACCAAAAGTGCACAGTGGAGGAAAGACATAATTTTCAACAAATGCTGGCAAAACTGGATCTCTACCTGTAGAAGAATGAAATCAGACCATTATCTTTCACCCAGTACAAAAGTCAACTCCAAATGGATAAAAGACTTTAATACGAAACCTGAAACTCTGAAACTGCTAGGAAAAAAAAAACACAAGCATTTCCCTACATGACATAGGTGCAGGAAATAACTCTACATTGGACATTAGTTGCTCAAAAGTTAAGTACAACAATCATCAAGTGGGACCTCATTAAACTAAAGAGCTTCTGCACCGTAAAAGAAACAACTTAGGGAGTAAAGAGGAAACCCATTGATTGGGAGAAAAACTTCACCAGCTACACATCTGACAGAGGACATTATACAAATAATTTAAAACAAAGAAACAAGAATGTAAATAACCCATTAAAAAGATGGGCTAAATATCTGAATCAATAGTCCATAAATGAAGAAATAAAAATAAGTAAAGAAAAAACACCTTAAAATGTGAACACCACCCTTAGTAATTAGAGAAATGCAAATCAAACCATTTTAAGATTTCATCTTATCTAGGGCAAACTGACTAAGATCAAGAGAACAAAAACCACATCAAATGCTGGTGAGGATGTGGAGAAAGGGGAACATTCATTCACTACTGGTGGGATTGCAAAACTCGTGCAACCATTATGGAAACAATGTGAAGAATTCTTTAAAAATTAGAGATGAATCTACCAAATGATCTGGTTATACCACTCCTTGGCATATTCCCATAGAACTCATGCTACTGTAGAGATACCAGTATATCCATGTTTATTATTGCTATTTTCCCAAAAACTAAGAAATGTAAATAACATAAATATCCCTCAACTGATGAATGGATAATGAAAATGTGATATGTTTTTCACAGAATGGAGTTCTTCTGAGTAGTTAGGAAAGGTGAAATCATGAAATTTGCAGGTATCTGGTTGGAAATAGAAACTGTTTTCTAAGTGAAGTGTTGCAGACTTAGAAAAACAAGTAAAGCATGCTCTCTCTTGTTTGAGGATCTTAGCACCCAATCTGTATGTGAGTACATATCCTGATGTAATAGCAGGAGCCACGAAAATGGAAAGGAACCACAGAAATAAAGGGAAAGGAACAGCCTGAGAGATGGGAATAGTAGGAAATAGATATTACCAAGTTTCAGAAATAGGGGTATCCATATTCAACTGAGAAGAGAGTAGGGAAGGACATACAACGAACTATGTGGGTAAAGGGGAAAAGGAACTCAAGAGAGGAGGAATAATAGGAGACTGCTATTATCAAGGGGAAACTGGGAAAACTGTGGTACTTAAACTGTGGAGGGAGAGGGGAGGACTAGGCAGGGAGAGATGAACAAAACTTACGTGGTGTAAAAAGACAGAGGGAAATGTATTAACTACCCTCCCAAAAAACAGCCCTACACATGCAATATCTCAAAATAAGCCCATGTGTATACCTGAGGGCTATATAACAAGAAACACAGTGTCAGACAGGGAAACCTCCCTTCAAGTTGTTGGTCATGGTGGTCCAAGAGGTGACCAAAATAGCACAGGCTATTTCCATAGTCATTGATTACATCCAATAACTTGAAGTTAAGACCCTATTGCTGAATATAGGACCTGCTTCGGACACAAGACTTGGAGCAATGCAGATAGAACTGACCTGGAAGCCTCCTCCCTGAAGACAAGCTCTCATAGTTCTAGAGATTACTATGAAAGAAGCTAAGGGAGAAAATCAGTCAATGGTTAAACCCATCTGTAAAGGCTGATAACCACAAAGACTGGCACAGTAAATTGTCTTTATTGCAGCAGTAATGGCACTTTTAAATAGGCAGTATCAACAGCTATCTAACTGACGTTAAAGTCCTCTCAATGGGAATAAAATTATCATTAGCATAGTAAATATAGCCAAATACACATGGCTGGAGATGTCCTAGAGAGGTCACAGATCCCAGAGAAAACTCTATCTCTGTCATATTTCTAGACAAATGAAACTTTTTACTACATGCTAAATATGGATCCTTATACTTGCAGACAAGCATACACCATTCACCAAAGAACCTTCTTTTCAGAACAGTTGGGGGCTATTGCAGAGTTCCACTATTGGTCATACATAGAGAATGAATGTCCAAGAGATTCCCAGTCCTAAGTGACACACCTGCAGTGGAACCTCTATACTTAAGGCTCACGGAACATAACAGGAGGAGAGAGAATATATTGGTATTTGTACCTGGGTCTTCTGCAAAAGCAGCCAGTGCTCTTAACTGTTAAGCCAAGATCTCTAGCCTCCATGAGGCTTTTTCTGAAGTCTTAGGTGTTAGTTATTCCTCCCCACAATTTCTCCTCTGCCCTGCTGTCCAATTTAAGTCTTCCTACTCCATTATTCCTACCCCCCCCATTTATATCATTGCATTCTGTATCCAATCCTACGATATCCCTGCCTCCATGACCTAACCTTTGTGGATTTTTACCTGAAACAAGAATATCTAAGGATTCACAGCTAGCATCCACTTATGAGAGACAAATGTTTTCCTTTTGGGGTTTGGGTTACCTCACTGATGATGACTGATGATCGTTTCCTTTTACCTGGGAATTCAATAATATTCTTTTTCTTAAAAGCTGAATATTATTCCACTGTGCAATTTCAATATAGTTCAATGATCCTTTAATCAGTGTTAACACATATCTAGGTTGTTTTCATGTCCTGGTTATTATGAAGAGAAGAAATGAACATGGATTGATGGACAAGTATATCTGTGGTATGTTATAGAGTCCATTGGGTATATGCTCAAGAATGGTATGGCTAGATCATGTGGTAGAATTTTTTCCTGCTTTTTGAAGAATCTGAATATAAATTTCCGATGTAACTGCACCAATATGCACTCTAACCAACAGTAGATATGTGCATATCCTTTCCTCACGTCCTCATGGTTTGTTTTTGAAATCTTAGTAATTATGACAATGATAAGCTGATATATCAAAGTGGCTTTACTTTGCAATTTTCTCATGAATAAAAGTGTTGAAAAATTTAAAAATATTTCAGTCATATATCATTCATATTAAATTTTTGGTTTTTTCTTACTAAAGTCATTTTTCTTATAGTACTGTTATCAAATTCTTCATTCCATCAATAATTACAAATTGCATTTTTAATTATTTCAATATACATCAATCCTATGAGCTAATGAACTGACCTTAAATTACTATACATTTATGTGTCATTTAATGTATAATTTTACAATGATATAAGCCAATATTATATATGAACAGTACATGCTTAAATAGAACTTTATTTTAAATATTTTAGAGATAAGATTATAATATTTACACCCAATTAACATTAGTAATTCTGTGCCTCTTTTCCACAGGAACGCATGTTTAAATTTTATCAAATGAAACATAATTTTCAAATACTGGATAAAATGAGATGCTTGCGAAAACGATCTACAGTGTCATTCTTGGGAGTTCTTGTCGTTTTCCTCCTATTTATGAACTTGTACATCGAAGATAGCTATGTTCTGGTAAGTTTTTGAGACTGAGTAATTTAGTTCAGTCAGTAAACCTAGTGTCAGTCTAGTTGTACCCTATCCTAGGTTGTGGAGTACCCTTCATTTAAATAAATTTATTTTATGCCTATTTTCTACCTGTATATTTTAGTCTTCCATTGTTGACACTATACTTATATTAATCTGTTTTCTAACTTTTTCATTGACACTACATTGTGATACAATTATGTAGATCTGTTTAAAACACACTGGCCATCCTCACTATATTGAACTCTTTAAGATTGTTAGGTTTTACTTTGAAACATAAATTAACAAATTTTGCTTAAAAGCATTATTACTTACACTCTCTTTTTTTTCCAAGTAATTGATGAAGCTTCTTGAAATTACCGTTCTGTAATTTATTTGCTTTTTATATTAACTGTTTAAGTGTTTGTAATACCCTATATATGTACTATTTTGTATAATTAATATCTTGCATAATAATTGTTTTGTATTTTGGTTAAGCCTAAATCTTCACAACATAATATGCTGATATTCACTGAAATATATCAAGTATGGACACTTACATAGAAATTATGCAAGTGTTCAAAAGACTTTAGAAGTGTTGCTATATGATTATATAATATGAAATATGAAAGCATCAAAAGAAAATTTTTCTACTAATTAAGCAAAAACAGTTTATTAGTATTATTTTGTTACTGTTATGTCATTTCATGTTAATAAGAATCAACTATCTTTTTCACAATTTCTATTTGAATTAACCTAATCATCTACTCTAATTTTCATGTTATTACTACTATTCAACTATTTCAAATAATATCTTCAGTCACACAGGGACTAAAAAAACTTTAATGAATCAGAGATTCTCATATTTCTGATTAAATTATGTGACAAAGATATTTTCCTTTATCTCTGTTGGCTGGTAAATCACATCCTGTATGTCATGCAATTATTATTAATTAAATGATTTATGCAATGACATTCTATACTTACAAGTCAATATTAAGAGACATATTTATCTTTCATTTTCAACAGTTCAAAAAAATCCATTGCGCATAATAGATATTCTTTCATCCTTTTCCTATAGAAATTCTATAGGAAAAGGCTCAGTGGTTAGAAATTCAATAGGATGGCTCAGCAGTTAAACAAAATATGTAAAATTTCTATGTTAACAAGAAAATCCAAAGCATTGCCCTTGTTTTTGAATTTTTATGCAATGCTGTGAACCATGATCTTATCTAGTATACAAGTATAAACTAATGATGGAATTGTTTCATCATTAAAGAGCACTTTTTTCAATAAAATTTTTCTGTCTACAGTAAATATAGATCTAATTAACTTAAAAATCTGCCCAAGTATTGAGAAATGATTGCTTCTTACATTAAAAAATATTAATTTAAATAAGTGTGAAAAAATAAGTTAAAATAATTGTTAAATACTGTCCTTATTGTAAATTCAATAATGGTATTTTCATGATTTCTAAATAAGTTGTACTACAAGATGAATGGTTATCAAGTTCTTTCAATAATTAATATTGAAATACCATTAAAAATATACTTCTAGGGCTGGAGAGATGGCTCAATAGCAGTTAAGAGCACTGACTGGTCTTGCAAAGCACCCAAGTTAAATTCCCAGCACCCACAAGGCAGCTAACAACCATCCAGAAAATCTGACCTCCGTGGCCATTGCACTACACAAGTGCACTCTTATACATGCAGGCAATACACTCATACACCTAAAATAAAACTTAATTTTGCATATATATATAATATTATATATTATACTATATATAGATGCACACACACATGCACACACACACACACACACACACACATAATTCTAGCAGGCTGGAAAGATGGCTCAGTGGTTAAGAGTGCTTACTGCTCTTTCAGAGGATTCAGATTCTGTTCCTAGCATAAAACTGACAGCTCCCAACTGTTTATAACTCCAGTCCTTGGGAATAAGATGTTCTATTCTGCCTTACACAGGCACTTGCACACCCACGGAGCATTGAACTCATGCTGGCACACACATATACATAAGTAAAAATTAAGGAAAAATGCATTCAAAATTATATTTCTAAAATGTGTAATACGTATTGAAAACTGATTCTAATGAAACATAATGCAGTTTCTTCTTTATAATTCTCCCTCTCATCTGTGTTTATTTTTCATAAATTTATCAGCCTTAAGTTTCCATCTTGCATTTATTCTGCCACAGTGCAAATAGTTTTCTAGGCACAGACTGTATTAAGTCTTTCTCTTTTATTTCTGGATGTAATATTTATAATTCATAGAAATCATTCTAAAGTTATTTAGAACATTCAATGATGCTCCTTTTTTGCTAGAAAATTCATTTGTGTTATGAAAGCCTAGGCATATTAACAGCTTAGTATATTTGTTTTTTTATTAGAGAGATAAGTGTCTTTCAAAGGGAAGGGAAGCAGCGCTCAGTGGAAAAGACAAATTCTTTTTCAAAGCCAACTGAGTGGCAGAGATGCTGCACGCCTAATCAACTTAGCCTCTGGGCTGTGAGCATCTTCAAAGTAGCCACCAGGGTACATATTTAGACTGTAGCTAGTCCACTGAATTGCATTACCATCCAGAAAATGATTGTCATAAAGCTTTGTCTTATTACTGAGGAACACTACAGTGTAGATGCTGCAGGAAGATGGTGTCCAGGGACAGCCTGACTGTTTAGTTCATTGCCCCTGAAAGCAACTACCTGGTCTGACTTGGGTGGAAGCTACATTTTATTTATGCTGAAAAGTATAAAGAAGGTTTTTCTGAAAATTGAAATAAGTATTTTCACATCAATCTCATTTTATATATATTATGTCCTCAAACAATATGAATGTCCTTCATTTTATTCCAGAAAAGGTCTAGACTGTAACATGTTCAGGAAAAATCCTTTAAAAATATTCAATATTCTAGCTGGACCTGCTCCCGCATGCCTTTAATCCCAGCACTCAGGAGGCAGAGGCAGGCAGATCTCTATGAGTTCAAGACCAGCCTGGTAACATAGCAAGTTCCAGGACAGCTGGGGCTACAGGGAGACCCTCTCTCAATAAAGACCAAAAAAATTCAATATTCTATGACATCCATAGAATATAGCTTTATATAAGAGCAGAATATAAAATTGAATACATTATTGTGAAATGTCTTCTTTAGATAGTGTATACTATGTTACCACGGAAATAGTAAATGTTATACTCAGTCCTAAGTTACTCTGTAGCAGTCCTAAATTGTTAATTTGATACATTTTGTTAATAGATGTGCTGTCAGTAATAGATTAAACTGCATATACATAAGGAAGTTAAGATAATTAGAGCACAGTGAATGTTCATAAGAATTATTTCATTTAATCTTGAATTGGAGATATTCTGAATGTCTATATTTTTACGTGACAGATATGCTAGAATCATTGCTAAATTTTTCTTTGTCCCAAATATAAAAGCAACATAAAACATGGAAATAAACTAATACAGACAGAATATAGTGTTTCAGAGATACTTGAATACATTTGGAAAAGATTTTAAGAATAAACCTTGGTTTAATATGGTCTACAGTTAAGTATTTTGTAACTGTCCTGTTATACTGCATTACTTTGAGTGTTTATGCTATGAAAGTTCTTTTTGGGGGGGTGGGGGAAGGATTTATTCAGCTTACATCTCCTGGGTCACAGTTCATCAGGGAGCCCAAGGAAGAAACTTCAGGGTGGGAACCTGGAGGCAGGAGCTGGAGCACAGGCCATGTAGATCGTTGTTTATTGACTTGCTCTCCTGGCCCCTGCTCAGACTGCTTTCTTTCTTTTCCTTTTTCTTTTTTTTTAACTTTTAAAAGAAACTTTATTGATAATTTAGATTTAAGATTTAATTATGTTTTCCCCGTTTGAGTCAGAAACTAAGTACTCAATGTTCCAATCAAGGTGAAACTAGTGTTTGAACCTTGTCGAATCTTATAGAACAGAGTTTTAATTAATATTTTATTGACCACAGATAAGTAATATCAAGACCAATGTCAATTGATTCATTTTCTTTTATATTGTTTTAGTGAGTTACACTTGATGGCTTTAGTTCTTATCACAACTAATAGAAATAGACCCACATAACAACGCACTGCAAAGTATACAACTTTACTTCCCAAATAGATTGTCCCAAAACATGTGGCAGTAAACCATGGCCAAACAATAAACCTAAGACCGTATGACCAATAAGCTTGATGAGATGGTGAACTGACCATCAAAATCTACCACTGAACTTTAATCAATGCAAAATGAAAATAAAATGATGGCTAATGGTACATATATATATATATCATGATTTGTATATTTTCTTAAATATAAAGCTTTCTATAGTGTTAGTGAAATAAAAAGTTCACTATCAAGTAAAATGAAGGAAATGTCAACTATCTCAACCACCTTCAATACAACACCATACAGTAACACAAGTTCACATGCACACCCATACACAGAGAGACAGACTGTAATAAGAAAATTGTGAGCAAGGTTTGAACACTTCCATTGACTTGGTACAAATGCATCCTGACTGAGGTTATTAGAGGACATTTTACATAAACATTTCTGTGCCACAGGGGGTATGACTGGGTTCTCTTAGCACTTTCAATTATATGGCTTTATAAATTACATATTGAAGCTTAAGAAATTATCCTAAAATCATTTTTTTTCACATTTATGTCTTCCTAATCATTCCAAAAATGTTGCAATCAATATTGTAGTTTTCATTTGACAGCATCTGTGGAAGAGTAAGTAGATTAGTGTGGCTCAATTTACAGGGAATTTGAAAGGGTGAAAGTTCAAGATAGATCACCATCAAATTATAATGTCATTAATTTTTTCAAGAAATTGGAATTTTAACATGATGGCAGTGTAAATTTTCACTTATGGGTTAATTTCTCAAGAGAGTGGCATTATTAATGTATGACAAAGAAAACCAAATTAATTGTATAGTGCAGAATGTAAACAAGTAAGTGTAAAGCAGAAGCTACAGGTAGGAATTCAGGTGAAACTGAGATTATGGGCAAGTAATTGAGCTTTAGATAATATTTTGCAGTGCATATATAATCTTCATTTTGAAAAGAATTCATTTAATTTGTGGCCACACATTATGCATTAATTTATTCTATTTTATTTTTATTTGCATTTAGGAAGGGGACAAGCAACTAGTAAGGGAAACATCCACACATCAACTTAATTCTGAGCGCTCCTTTCACACGTTTAAGGATTTATCAAACTTCTCAGGGTCCATAAATGTCACCTACCGCTATCTAGCTGCCACACCTTTACAAAGAAAGCGTAAGTATCCTTAGGCATGTCGATGAAAAATCCATACAATATTTTGTTTCTTTAAAAGTAATGAAAATTGGGGTGGAGAGACATCTCAGAAGTTAAGAACACTTGTTGTTTTCCCAGAGGACCTGGGTTCAATTCCCGGCCCCCCTTTGGTGGCTAGCAACCATTCTTATCTCCAGTTCTAGGTAATGGGACACTCGCTCCTGGCCTCTGTACGACATTGCAAGTGCACAGTGCATTTGAACTCATACACTTAAAAACAGTAAATAAAATATTTTAAAATAATGAAAATTTATTCCATTTGTGTAGCAATAAAAAATTAAGAAATTTGGTAAAAAAATTACAATTTGAGACTATGCTAATAATTCCTGGGTCAGTAAACATCAAAATATTAGTGTTATTAAGACCCTTTTAACATTTTGCTGTAGAACTGTGTAAGAAACAATTATCAATCTGCTTTAAAATAAAAAATCTATTCGTATGTTATTATATTCCAGCCTTTGATGAATTAATTTTATAAATTCTAAACAGTTTTGAATGAGTTCTTGATGGTATATTATTTTATAAACAGTTATCACAGATTACATACCTATGGCAAGTATGCTAATTCCCAATATACCTACATTCTTGAGAGTGACATTTTGAATATACTACTGAAATCCTACCAAGTAAGGGTGCAAATTAAATCAATAATCTTTATCATGCTAATGTTTCTTTTTTTACAAATGATCATTCAGAAATTTTATTTAGTGTTGGTCATGTGAAAAATTAGATCTTTAAAAAGTGAAAACTATTTCCATAGAAAGACTCCTAACATTTGCCAGAGATTAACTGCTTTTCCTTAGAATATTGAGTTCCAACTTCTAGATTTTAAATCTAAGAAAAATTTCTCTAGGGTAAATAACTTTGTTGTTAATGATGTATCATTCATTTGAGCAGAGATAAATTTTATCAAAAATATCTTACAGTCCTGTTCATTTTCTAACTAATAGATCAATTAAATTTCAAAAAAATATTATGAAATACACATTCTTCTAGTACAACATAATGATTTGATCAAAGAAAAATTAAAATACATGATGTGCTCTATGGAACATTTAAAGGTGAATTGCAGAATAAGCCACTCTTATTTTTCTTTCTCATAATAATTTGACAGCTTTAGTTGTAAATTCTCTTTTACTATAATAGATATTGTTATTTGAGTTTCTTTGAAACTGTTGTTTTTTGGTTTTGTCTTACTTTGTTTTGAGTCTCATTGCAAACCAGGCTGACCTGACCATGTGACACTCATCTTCTCTTAGCCTCCTATGAGCTAATACTACAGGTGTGAGCTGCCATGTGTAATTGTTTATAAATATATTTTGTATGATATCTGACTGTATATCTCTCTTCTTTAAAAGTAATATATCAGAATGTTACCCTACAGAATGTTTTAGTCAATATTCATTTTTGTGTTTCATAAACAATGTTTATGTCAGAGGATTAATACAAGACTGTAGATACATTTTTTTCTATATATTCCATGTAAAATGTGAATTACATATAAAATATAACTCTTTCATAATTGCTTTAATATGTTAATCACAAAATGTTCTATACATAATCATTCACTAGATTTACTTAACCTACTTGTAGGATTAAAGGAAATGAATCTTCCTTTTATTTCTATTTCTATGCTATTCATAAGCATACATTTAATTTGTCTTCCTCTGAATTCTTTTGTTTAGGGTATCTTACAATTGGAATTTCATCAGTGAAACGAAAAAAAGGAAACTATTTGCTTGAGACAATCAAGTCAATTTTTGAACAATCCAGCTATGAAGAACTAAAGGAAATTTCAGTGGTGGTTCATCTAGCAGATTTTAATTCATCCTGGTGTGATGTCATGGTCCAACATATTACACAGAAATTTGCCCATCATATCATTGCTGGAAGATTAATGGTTATACATGCTCCAGAAGAATATTACCCAGCTTTAAATGGTCTTAAAAGAAATTACAATGACCCAGAAGACAGAGTCAGATTTCGTTCCAAACAAAATGTAGATTATGCTTTTCTGCTTAATTTTTGTGCCAATACGTCAGACTATTACGTAATGCTTGAGGATGATGTACGGTGTTCCAAATCCTTTTTAACTGCCATCAAAAAAGTCATTGCATCCTTAGAAGGGACGTACTGGGTAACTCTTGAATTCTCTAAGCTTGGCTACATTGGTAAACTCTATCACTCTCATGATCTCCCACGTCTGGCACACTTTTTATTAATGTTTTATCAAGAAATGCCTTGTGATTGGTTATTGACTCATTTCCGGGATCTACTGGCTCAGAAAAATGTGATCCGATTTAAGCCATCTCTCTTTCAGCATATGGGTTATTATTCATCCTATAAAGGAGCGGAGAATAAACTGAAAGATGATGACTTTGAAGAGGAGTCATTTGACATCCCTGATAACCCCCCAGCAAGGATCTACACCAACATGAATGTGTTTGAAAACTATGAAGCAAGCAAGGCTTACAGCAGTGTTGATGAATACTTTTGGGGAAAATCTCCCTCAGTAGGGGATACCTTTGTGATTATATTTCAGAATCCAATTATAATTAAAAAAATTAAAGTGAATACTGGAACAGAAGATCGACAGAATGACATTTTGCATCATGGAGCTCTAGATGTTGGAAAATTTAATGAATTTAGAAAAAAAATAAGAACATGTGATAACTACCTAAGACTAGGGGAATTCAAAAATGGAAACTTTGAAATTTCAGAAGTGAATAAAAAAATTCCATTTGACATACACTGCATGAGGATATGTGTTACCAAAACCCAAAAGGAATGGCTGATCATTAGAAGCATCAGTATTTGGACATCTTAGCCAATTAAACCAGAATCTTGTGATTCCAAAGCAGTTCTTCCTGCTTCGTTTTTTGCTATCTTCATTCTTTGCTACTTTCATCGTTTGAATGAAAAGCAATAGATGTCATGTGTTACAAGGAAAGCTAATAATCTTGGCAGTTTTAATTGAGCCTTGATTCCAAATTGTCAACATGGTCTTAATCTAATACACCCCTGTATTTGTTTTTGCTTTTGAAGTCAAATTCTAGGGTCAATGTTGCTTTCATTTATATTTTTAAATGTTCTTAAAGTCACGATTTCAAATGAATAACAAAAGAGTAACATGCAAGATTTAAATCAAAGGAGTCTTTTGTTGGGTGATGGTTCCTTTTAATGTAGTTGAGAACTGTGTGCACTTACTTGTTCAGGAATTGAAATTTTTTATATGATCAAACAGCTTTTTATTAAGAATCTGAAAAAAATGCAGTTAGTTACAATTGTAATCTGCTTTATTTTTCTTGTAAATTTATGTTTTCATGGACTACTGTGTGTCTACAATGAATACCTCTTCATAGAAGTGCTGTCTTTACAACAAACTATTTTGTGTAATTAGGGCTATGAAAAAAAGAGAAAAAATTATCTTTTTTTCTAGTTATTTATATGAAAGGGAACATTGCTCATTGTTTTAAAACATTCAATCAAGTGAATATTGTTAATAAATTTTCTGTGGGAAGAAGTGCATTTCTAGTTTCCCTTTTGAAAAAAAGTAGTAAACTCAATATTTTCGGGTTACATATGGGTACCTGTAATTAATTGAAAATACTAGAGAAGAGTTATAGTTGATCCATTCAAACAAACATTTTCAGTAAATGAAGAAAGACTTTAAAATTGACTTTATTTTTTTTATTAAAATCTTGATCATATTGCTGTAATTTATCATATAATTTTGGGGGGATGAAATGGGTATCTTATATAGGAGAAAAGTAAGTATTATAGAATATACTTTTATTCCATTAATCAATGAGCTATTTCTTACCAAAGCCAGAGTGAGAAGCCATCTGTTCTGATAACCAGTCTTTTCTTAGGTACAGAGATTGCTGCACCCATAATTTAGGCTTTCTTTTCTTTTTATTTTATTCATTTATTTTTCTGTGTGTTTATGTGTGTTTCTTGTCTGTATGTATAACACTTTATGTAGTGGCTGCAGAGGCCAGAGAGTGTGTATGAGCTCTTGAAACTGAAGTTACAAGTAGTTGTGAGCCACCTGGTATGTCCGCTTGGAATCAAACTCAGGTTTTGTGCAAGGGCAGCACATGCTCTTAACTTCTGAGCCATCTCTCCAGCATGAATCTCTTCTATCTCTTATGTAGATTTCTGATAATAAGCTAGGTTATGTTGAATTATCTAACGTTATTGTTCCATTAAGCATATTACCTTGTTGTGGGATGATGTTGAAGTATTCTAACAGAAGTTTTTGTGGAATATGTACCCAAATAGTAAGCAAACTATTAGGATCTAGTCAGTTATTGCTACTGTTACATAAATACATTTCAGGGCACACTAGTGAGTTCTGAATACAAAACATTAGACTTTCAGAATGTACTGAGATTGTTAATTTTTTTAATTTTTTTGAAAATCAGCAAAAATTAAGTGGCTCCTAATGAAGAGATATACCAGATGCTTCATATGCGTTCATTGACAAATCAAGTACAAATTAACATATATATGTGTATGTGTGTGTACTACATGTGTGTTGTGCATATATTATGTATGGTGTATGTATACATGTGTGTATGAATATTAAATCTTTGATAGTGAGAAGAAAAGAGACATATTTCTGCAAATCCTTCAATTCTGAAACACAATCATCGGCTTCTTATACTCCAAAAGAGTTTACATTGTTTATATTTTTATCCTTTCTGTCTAAATAAGTTAAATTAGAAAATCAGAATTAAAAATAAGAATTTTTGACATGCCCTTTATATAGCCACTACTGTGCACTTTGTTGTTCCCAGTTAGCACACTGTTAATTAAAACTTTAATAACCATTTATAAACATGTAAACATTAGTATTTTGTGGCACATCTAAATCTTAAACTCATAAGAAAATATTAACACTGTCATGAAATTTATCTACACTTGAGTTTGAAGGATAATTGTCATAAATTTAAAAATAATCTACTTTCTTGATTTTCTGACTTCTTATTAACTAAATATTAGTATAGTATCCTACATTTATCTAAGAATTTACAAATATTATTCTGCATTCCTGGTAATTAAAGGTGTACCACTGAACCCAGATGCAAAAAATAAATAAAAATAAAAACAGAGAGACTCCATGACATGAGCTATAAGATGTTTCATATTGTACTTGGGAGTGTAATTACACAGTCAATCTACTGGTGTATATCAATGTCTGAAAAAGCTTTAGTAAACATAGCAGAAGGCAAACAGGAACTTGGAGGTTTGCTAGGGAATTATATTGCAAATGTGACCGAAGGAAATCACGGCTTACCTTACAAAATCTGGCATTAAATTGCTGCATTTACTCAGAGACGTTCATTTGTTGTCTGTATACATTGACACTGAGTTAACTAATTTTCATTCTTTCATGTATATTTCTAATAATTTTATTAGCATACAAAATTTGGTTCATTCTACACAAGAGAATTTTATTCAGCTATAGAGACAAATGAAATGATAAAATTTGCAGGAAAATGAATTAGTCTATAAAGTATTAATAACTGAGGTGACTTAGATTCAGAAAGACAAAAACTCACATGTTCTATCAAAGGTAGATTATAACATGCTTGTGTGCACATAAATGAAGGGGTGTGAGAATGGGAATAGTCTGTGAAACTAGAAAGAAGGCCACTAAAAGAGAACAAGTTTTAAAGAATTGGTGGAGAAGGAAAAAGAGTCTATTAACTTCCCAAGAACAATAGGCTTGACCAAAAAATAAAAACAAAAAACAAAAACTTCAACAAGAGGAAAAGGCAGACCAAATATCTCTGCTCTTTTTATTGTTTTATTTTCTTCATTTTGATTTTATTTTTGACATGATTTAAAGTATTTATTTTTATTTTTTCAATTTTAATGCTTCAGAATTTAATACATGCATATAATACGTCTGGATCAAATATTCTCCTCTAATTCTTCACTCATCCACCCACCATCATCACTTTTCACTTTTCAAAATTTCATGTGCCCTTACTTTTTAAAACACACTGAATGCACCCAATGTGGCTTATATATGTAGGGCATAGGGAGATAGATCTGCTTGAGTATTTTCAGTCTTTTATGGGCCATATCCCTGAAAAGAAAAAAACTGATTCTCCTTTCCAAAACACAGCATCAATTACCAACAACTCCTCTCTTAGGGGTGGAGGTTCCTGAGTCTGTCCCTCATAAAGTTGGGATTTTATCTGGCTTGATCCAGTGAAAATCTTGAGCATGCTTTCACAAAAGCTAGGAGTTCATGAATCCAACATCCCAGTCATGTCCTAAAAATCCTGTTTCAATGCATATGTCCATTATTTCTAGCTTTTATAATCTTCTGTCCCCTCTTTTACAGTGGTCCCTGAGTCTTGGAGGGAAAGGGTATGATATGGATGGTCCATTTAGAAATAAGCACACTGCTGCCTCTTATTCCCTGCATGTTTACTAGTTGAGAGTCTACGTATTAGTTACCTTCTACCACAGAAGAAACTTCTCTGAAGAGGGTTAAGAAATGCACTAATCTATGAGTATATAGATGATAACTAAAAGTTCAGTTTACTGCTATATCTAGTAAAAAAAAATACACACACATAATGTGTGTGTGTGGGTGTGTGTGTGTGTGTGTGTGTGTGTGTGTGTGTGTGTGTGTGTGGTACTGTGCTCAGCTGGAAGGATATAAGACTTAACCGGCCATTGATTTTTGGCTGAATTAATGGTACCAGGCATGAGTTCAGTCTTATGGAGCAGGCTCTAAAACCAATCAGTGAGCAACTAGTTTCTTCCATAACATTTCATCCCACTATTCCACTTTTAGGCATAATTTGACAAGTCAGTTACCATTGCAACTCCCAGTGTTTACAGCTGAGTAAGATTATGGATAACTTTTCTCCCCCACTCTAATGCACAGAAACTCTCAACATTATGAAAGATTGCCAATAGAGATGAAGCTTTCAGGTTGGTACCAGCTTGATTTCTCCATGTTACATGATTCAAATGCTTGGTATCTTCAGCAGTGGAGTATACCCATCAAATTCTGGAGTGTATCAAGAGACATGGCAATAGCCGGCAGTGTCTGTGGTTTCTGAGGACCACAATGACCAATAACTAGAAAAGCAGAACCCTACACCTGGCATTGGGCTTTGTATTTGGTAGCTATGGTGACTGGTAGAGGCATTGTCTCATTGCTATAGGGAAAATTAAACTTGTTCAATATATATGTATAGATTTTAAGAAGTCTCTACAGTAGTAGCTTTCCATGTGACATTTCAAAGGTCTTTACTGATCATCATTCTTCCCCGTACATTTTCTTATCCTGTCATCACATCTTCCATCCTACTTAAGACTTCCTGTTCCATTTTTTTCCCTTTAACTCTTCATACCACCTGAGTGCTATCTTCCTTTGAAAGCCCAATCCCAAAGGCCCCTTACTAGATTCAATACGTCTATGATTATTTCAACTTTAGCACATATATCTAAAGAGTCAAGCTAGCATCAACATATGAGGAAAAGCATGTCACATTTGTCTTTCTGGGTCCAAGTTACCTCACTCCAAATTATTATTTCCAGCCCCACTCATTTACTTGTTAATTTCATTTTTCTTCACACACAGCTGAATACTCCAGTGTGTTTTTAAACCACTTTTTCATTATTATTTCATCAGGTGATGACCATTTGTACTGTATCGATTTCCTGAATATTATGAACAAAGTAGCAAATATATCTGTAGTAGGATAAAGAGTCTTTCCACTTTCTTTCGAAATGAAAATCTCAATAAGCATTCCTTATACAACTCAATAATGCATTCTCTGCATATAAAACTTCTAATGGAGACTGTAGCAATTTTAATTCAGAGGCATAGAGCCAAAAATACAGCTATCAAGTTTGTACAAACTTGATTTGTTAAGCTTTATGCAACCTTTCTCTTTATACTAAATTATATATAAATACATGTACACATTGCCTATGTATAGGTAGTTTCCATAAGTATACACATGTATTTTCAGATCACTTTCTTGTTAGAATATCCACTGAAAAGAACTGCAATTAGACATGTATAGTTTGACTTATTTAACTTTCATGAAAATAAGGTACTGACCGATTTCAAGCACAAAGTTTAT